AAAAGAGGAGGGTGAGAGAGAAGCTCGGTGAGCAGAGAAAAGGGGCCACCGGTCGCCCCCCCGCTTCTCCGCACGCGCTCTTTAGCCGTGGCCGCCCGCCTGCCGCGGTTACCTGGGCCTCTCTCACGGTCCCTTCTGATTGGATCTAGACGCTGAGCGAGGCCCTGCTAGGGCGGCCATGCGGCGGTGACAGGAGCTCGGTTGAGACGCACGGGCCCCTCGCCCTCTCACCTCCTGTCCGCTAGCCAGCTCGCCTCACCCCGAGGCTGCTCCACCGCGGCCGCAGCTCGTGCACGGCCCACACTCGCTTCCCTTCGGCACCCCGACCCCAGCGCTGCCTGGAGGCGGCTGCACTCGGGTGAGTCCCTGTCGCCTTATCCCCCGTCCCCCTCCCCAGTTGCCATCGCGAGCAGGGCCTTTATTTGAGACTCCCCCTGCGGGGCCTGCAGGGGCAGGAGTCTGGGGACCGTCGGCAGCCGTGTTGGGGTACCCAGCCCCCCCACCTCGGGCTGCCGGCGTTGGGGGTGGGGCAGGAGCAGACGCGGTCGCGGGGGACGACAGTTGCACGCGCGCGCCTGGGTACGCATGGGGGAGGGGTGCGCGCGCCGGCGCCTCGTGGGGGGGGTCTCACGCGTGAGGCCTGCGCGCGAGCGAGCCTGTGGCTGCGCATGCCCGGCCGCTGATTGGCCGGCTCGAGTGGTGCGGGTGCGCGCGCGGTGCCAGGCTCGAGCGGTGGGGTCGCGCTTCAGCCTGGTGTCTCTGGGGCTCGTGCGCCCGGGCAGCCGACGCTCAGGATTGGCCGGCGGGCGGCAGGGGCGGTGCTGCGCTGCCTGGTAACTGCGGCCGGCAGGCGGGGGAGCGCGGCCCCTCCCAGTCCCCACCCCTGCCCTTCTCTGCCTGCACCCAGGTGGAGCCCGGAGAGGGCTTTGTCCCGGCCCGGCGGGCGCGCCTTCCCCGCTGGGCCTGTTCTTGGGGGGAAGTAAACACAATGACCGGAAGGAAAACCTCAGCCTTTAGGCTACGAAAATAAGCCGTCTAGATTGGGCCCGCACCCAGACGGGGTTTCAGGGGAGGAAGGAGACAAAAAACTGTCTTCTTTCCCCTTCCTCGTCTCCTCCGCTTTTGCTTATCCAAGTTCTGTCTTTATTAAAGCGAGGTTTTTTTGTTGTTGTTTTGTTTTTTTTTAGTGTTATGGTTTTGCGCTAATTTGCGGCTGGGAGTGTTCAGATGATGTCGGGTCCTGTTCAAGTAGTGCTCACTCCTGCGAATGCGGGCTCCCCCACCCGTGCAGACTTCTCACCCTCTGCATTCAACTTTGCTGCAGACAAGGGCTTGTTAGGCCACAATGCCTGAAAGTAGTCTCTGGGTGTTGACAAAACAAAAGGGGAAGTTAGTTTGCAAATGGTAATGTACATTAGTGTGTACTAAGGTGGCAGGGTGTTTTCCCCTGGGCTAAGGCCTATGTTTTGGGATGACTGATCTTATATCTTGATACAGTAGACTCCCCTCCCCCCCTTATCCGCGGTTTCACTTCCTACAGTTATAGTTGAGGTCAGAAAATTTTAAACTGAAAATTCCAGAAATAAACAGTTCATAAGTTTTAAATTTCTCGCGCCGTTCTGAGTAGCGCGATGAGGTCCTGCTCTGTCCCGCCCGGGACGTGAATCATCTCTTTGTCCAGCGTATCCACGCTGTATGCGCTACCAGCTGCTCGTCACTAAGTAGCCATCTCGGTTTCGTATTGCAGTGCCTGTGTTCAAGTAACACTTATTTTCCTTGATAATGGCCCCAAAGAGCAAGAGTAGTGATGCTGGCAATTCGAATATGCCAAAGAGAAGCCGTAAAGTGCTTCCTTTAAGTGAAAAGGTGAAAATTCTTGACTTAATAAGGAAAGAAAAAAAATCTTATGCTGAGGTTGCCAAGATCTACAGTAAGAACGAATCTTCTATCCGTGAAATTGTGAAGAAGGAAAAAGAAATTCGTGCTAGTTTTGCTGTGGCACCTCAAACTGCAAAAGTTACGGCCACAGTGCGTGATAAATGCTTAGTTAAGATGGAAAAGGCATTAAGTTTGTGGGTGGAAGATATGAACAGAAAATGTGTCCCAGTTGACGGCAGCATGTTGCGCCAGAAAGCACTGAGCCTATATGAAGACTTCAAGGGATCCTCTGAAAGGAATGACACCAAGCCATTTACTGCAAGTAAGGGATGGTTACACAGATTCAGGAATAGGTTTGGACTGAGAAACATAAAAATTACTGCAGAGGCTGCGTCTGCTGATGAAGAAGCTACTGCCACATTTCCGGCAGAGTTGAAGAAGTTGATTAAGGAGGAAGGTATGTATGTATAGGCAAAAACAGTATATTTAGGGTTCAGTATTATCCGAAGTTTCAGGCATCCAGTGGGGATCTTGGAACATAGCCCCTTTGGATAAGGGGGGACTACTGTACATATTTTTGCTTCGTCCATTCTTAAGCTACTGTGATCTACTGCCTTGTGCTTTCCTTTGGCTTGCTTCTTGGCATCTTGGCTCATACCTGTAGGCTGGAGTGACTTTTTTCTTTTCAGGCTGTGGAACTTTTTCTTATATGCAGTCACTTCTTTTTTTAAAGCCTTCCCTTATGTTGTTTGGTTAGAATTTGCTGTTCTTCTTAAGTTATCCTAACTTGTTTGTTCCTTTTGCGAAGTCATATTTATTTTCTCTAGGAGTGTGTTTGGTTCTGCATTGTGTACATGAGTCTGGGCTAGTCACTAGGTATTAAACTCCTAGTTAGGTAGGGATTAAGCCTTTTCTGCCTTAGTCTCTCTCCCCCTTACAGTCTACAGCTGTCAAAGTGCTTTGCACATAGTAATAACAGCTAACATTTGAATATTTCCTATGTGCCTGGCATTGCTCTTAATCCTTTTTTTTAAAATTTAATCTTCAAAATAATCCGGTAATTCCATTTTAAAGATAGGAACAAGCCTAGAGAAGCTGGGTAATGTACTCTTGATTACCAAGCAAGTAAACCTTGACTTCAAGATTTGAATATAGGCATTTTGACTCTTACCCCCTAAGCCAGTGGTTCTCAAACTCCAGCAGTGAGCATCAGCATCTTCTGGAGGGCTTGTTAAAACAGAATCACTAAGTACCACCCCAGACCTTTGATTCTGCAGGTCTGGAGAGAGGAAAGGGGGCATGTTTGTATTACTAACTAGTTTCCTGGTGGCCCTGAAGCTTGAGAACCATTCACCATGGTGCAAATTAAGTTTTTTTTCTTTTTTAAATTTATTATTATTTATGCCTACAGCACCTGGTCTTCCTAGGTGGTCTCCCATCCAAGTACTAACCAGGCCCAACCTTGCTTAGCTTCCAGCGTCATGGACCATGGCTCCACTGGGGTGTGAACCCAGGACCTTCTGCGTGTAAAGCAGACGTGCTAACCACTACACTATGGAACCACGTCCAAATTAAGTTTTAAGTGAGGAGAATTTATTGTAGATGTTTGCTTTTTATTACTATGAAACTAGATCTTAACTAAAAATAGCTTGAACTGTTTACTGTAGATTGCTTGGAAAACTGAGTTATTTTATTAGTCATGATTACAAAATTGAAAGTTTAAAAAGTCCAGTTTAAAAAAGCTATGGGTATTTAAGTATGAATAAAATTACAAATCTAATAATTTTGGTCTTTTTCCCACCATCATTCATTTTTTAATTTACTCATGGCACAGGAATTTATCTCCCTCCTGAGATGCTTAAAGCATCCCATCACCACCTCTGAATATAAAGTCTAAGAAGCTAGACGGGGTGGGGTGATAGGCCTGTGCTTGGCACTGAGATAAGTTGGGCCCGGCAGGGGTTGGCTGAGCAGCTGGGGCTGAACAGCCAGAGCTCCGCCCCCACACCTCCAAGAATTTGGCTTACTTTTAAGACTTTGTCATTAAAGTTGTAGGCTTTAAGGTTCTTGGGGCACAAGTCTTGTTGATAAAGTAATCTCACATTAGGTAGGAGAAATGGGATTAGTTACAGTTATGTTCTGTCATTTTTGATGACCCATAGATTGATGGTATGTTCCAAAACAAAATATAAAAGACAAGGTCCCTAATCCCAGTGTTATTATCTATAGGAGCAGTAAATAAAACACCGAAAAATTACTAAACATTTAGCCTTTTCTTTTATTACTGGTGACTGGCCTATTTTCATTTCATTCTACCTCATTCAGTTCTACCATTATTTCATTCTTTACTGAAAATGAGTTTTTAAATATTTCAATTCTCTTAACAGTTGTGGTTATAATTAACATAAAATTGTCTTAACTTTTGGGTTAAACAGATGCTGATCTAGTGCTTTTTATGGATGTCTAAGGGAAAGCATTTTTTGAAGTTGTTTGAGAATACTCTGAGAATGCTATTTTATTTTTTAGAAATGCATTAGAGGCAATTTACCTGAAAGATTATTGCTAAGAATTAATGGCAGTCTACTAAAGATCATTCATAGTATTTTTCTTCAAAAATACATTTATTTGGGTTACGGTTATTTGTTACTGACTGAAAGAAAGTAGGAAATGCAGTTAATCATTTCATTGTGATTGTAGTGTCATGACATTCATTGTAATTAATGGGCTTAAAATGCCAGTATAGCAATATGAAGAATAATACTCGATTAACCAAAGTATAGCTGAGGCTACCTGTCTGGTGGAATAAAATTAAGAGTTAGTATTTTAGAGGATGTATGTATACTGGAAAAATTATGTGGATAAATCAGGAGTGCTGAGGGTATTATCTTGATGTTTTTCTCTTTTTTTCCTCTTTCTGCCTTTACCATTTTTCTTCTCTCTTGTCCTTTACTGGAATACTCATTACTGCAGTTTTCCTGTTTTTGTTTTTACTTTTTTCTCTTCGTTTCTACAATCCTTTTAGTATTCCATGCATGTTTCTGACACTACTACTCTGCTCTTTCCCACTTTGGCCTAGTGGGAAAGTAAGACAGTTCGATAGAGTCATGGATTGTCAGTTGATGGAGGAGTTGGTTGTGCTTTGGTTAAGTGTTATATAGGATTTTAAAGAATTGGATTATTTTAAAAATGTAACTTGAGAAGCAAAATGAATTTATAATTGAGAGAAGGAATATCGTTTTGTGGGCGTAGATTCTGAAATTAGACTGCCTAGATTCAAATCCTGGTCCTTGCCACTCCTGGTTGTGTTACCTTGGGCAATTTACTTCACATCTTTGTGTCTCAGTTTCTCTATTTTAAAAAATGGGATGATGATAATAGAACCTGTTTCTCTTATAGGGTTGTCGTGAAGATAGAATGAGTTAAAAATGCTTAACATGGTATCAGGTGTACAGTAAACAGTCAATAAATATTAGCCATAAAAATACTATGTTTAATACTTTTGAGAGATTGAATTTTTTTTCCTCCTCTTTTTAATTACTCCCCACCTCTACTCCTGACCTATGGATTTTGCCATTTCCGCTTATGGATGTTGCCATTTCCCCTTAAGAACTGGATCTCTGAAGGCGGGGCGTCTCCTCCCACACGCTCTGAGCGTGCACCCAGGGCCTGGCACCCATCATGGTGTGGTCCGTGGCTCTACCTGGGGTGCAAACCCAGGACCTTCTGTGTGTAAAACAGACGTACTAACCACTACACTATGGAGCCACCCCTGAGAAATTGAATTTTCTAAAGAAATAAAATTTTTACTACTAATACTGACTACAAGGTTAATCTCCAGAAACTGGAGAATATGAAGTCTATGAAGGCAAGGACTTGTTCTTCCTGAGATTTTCCCCTTGTGACAAATTGTTTTTGCTTTTGTAGTAATGGTAAGGGAAATGTCCCCCCCACTCCCCTTAAAAAGTACTATATATGACTATAATACAGTATAATTGTAGAATCAGAGAGTAGTGAAGAGTTTGGTTCTGTTTAGGGTATCTGGTTAAAATGAGCCACGGTTAATAGGCAGAACCTATATATTTCTAATGTGTATATATAATGTATTATAGAGTCTGTCTACCTTGCAGATGGTGAATATATAATTGAAATAGTCTCTGGAACTGGTTACTCAACAGATAAATTCACCTATTTTCTATCTCTATTCTAAGTCTTAGAGGTAGTGCCTTCTTTCCCTGTTGAAGATGATGTATTTGAGGCAGAAACTAGTAAAGGAGTTGAACGGTAGTTGCAATTTCTTTGCTTTTATAGGATAATTAAAGGAGTTAGAGGCTTAGCTATCTTATTTTGGCTAGGTCCCATTCAGATGTTTTTACTAGAAATTGACAGTTTGATGAAAGCTGAGAAAACTTTGCTCCTGCATTGTTATAAAGAATTTGTTAATAAAGCTCTTACTATTGACTACAACATAAATGTGAATAGAATTTTGTCTGGATTGGGTTTTTACACCAAAATTGGTTTAAAGAAAATGAAGTGTTGGAACCGAACTAAAATTAATAAATGGTCTTAGCTTCAGACTTTAAAACACTTAGGTTACATTATTTTAGTTGTAAAATGATAATTTGAGAAAGGATGACAGCATATATTATACTCCACTTTATACTTGGGGAAAGAACAGAGAAACTGACCCTAGTACTAGAATTAATTTAAAATTGGCTAAAGGGGTTAAAGGAGATCCATTAGCTCAACTTCTTCCTTGTATTCTTATTATTTTTTATTTGCCATTTTAAGCATTTTTAATTAAGTGGCATTAATTACATTCAGTGTTGTTAAAACCATCACTACTATTTCTAAAATCTCATCAGCCCAAATAGAAACTCTGTACCCGCTAAGCAATAATTCTGTATTCCTCCCTCCCCTTAGTCCCTGGTTACCTCTAATCTACTTTCCTTCTCTATGAACTTGCCTATTTTAGATATTTCATACAAATGGAATCATACAGTATTTGTCATTTTGTGTCTGGCTTATTGCACTTAGTATATTGTTTCCAGGGTTCATATATGTTGTAGCGTATTTTGAACCTCATTCCTTTTTATGGTTAAATAAGGTTCCTTTGTATGATATACCACATTTCTCCATTCATCTGTTGATGCACATTTAGATTGTTTCTACCTTTTGGCTTTTACGAATATTGCAGCTGTAACATTGGTGTACAGTATATTTTGAATCCCTCTTTTCAGATCTTTAGCATATGTACTTAGGAGTGGAATTGCTGAGTCATTGTATTTTTCTTTTTAATGCTTTCCTTGGGGCAGAAATATTTGTATGGAACTGAACAAATCTCTAACAGGATAGAAAATCCTTGTAAAACGAGTTTGTCTTTTTGTGAAGATTAAATGTGCTTGCCATTTCTACCATGAGTACTTTGTTTCAAGAGGTTCCTTATAGGGATTAAAATTT